GCCATACTTTTCCAATTCTTCAATTTGTACCTAAAATACAATAAATCAATTTTTTAAGCACCAATTATCATTAAAACACACCAAAAGCCCAAATAAAAAGGTACGATAAAGTGTAAAAATATACACTTAACACACCCCCAAACTTGAACTTTTGCTTGTCCTCAAGCAAATAACTTAACTATTACATCTCATCACATAGATCAATGATCAACTTCACGTTTTCAGAACTTGTAATTATAATGACAATTCTTAGGCATTCGCAAGCTCAAAATTCAACAACACTTAGTCACTCACCATTACCAAAAACCACAATTCATACAATTGCTTCAAGCATCCAATATTTGCAAATTAAAGATAGAAAGAATTTATACTTACATGCATATGCTTGACTCCAAATACTCACAAAATTATTCTACTCTACTAATATCGAACATTAAGCTATTGGGATCATTGGGGCTTTGTGGCTTTCAATTGTTAGGCTCTTTGGTTCGAGGTAGGAAATATGGGTATGTGTGGCTATTCTTCTTGAATTTAGGTGATTACGCCAAAATTTGAAAGATAGGCGTTTGAAACAATGAATTCACCTCTACAGACTTTAATAAACTCGATTCTTAAGAGTTCTAAAGTCTCCACTTTTGCTCTTAAGACAATGGATCGAGCTTTCAAAACAATTCAACAACTAGTCCTTATTTCTCCCTTCTAGTCTCTTCTTCTTCTCTTTTTCTCTTTTTTTTTTTTTAATTTTTTTATTTATATATAGAAGCATATATATTTGTCTTCTCTTTTTTTTTTTCTTTTTTTTTTTTTTTTTTTTCGAAGAAGAAGAAGAAGGACCTTATAAAATTTTTCGACCGAACTCCAAGGGGTAATTTTCAAGAGTCTCCACCTATTCTACCTTACACATTGGCTAAAAGAAAGAACACCTTTTCTCCGAGGCTCAAATCAAGGTTCTAAGGATAATTTCGATAAAAAGGTCGGCTTACGGCTCAAACGGTTCAAAGAACGC